ATGCTCTCCGTTACTACATTATCTTCCTTTGACGATAACTTTATTTTTGACAGATCTTTAATTTTTATATATTAATCAGCAGATATAAAAAAATATTGTGATTGATGGAAAGCCATTTATTGTAAACTGAATGTAAAAAAAAAAAAAAAAAATTACGCAGAATATTTTTAAGTTAAAAACTTTCAGATACTTTCTTAAAAGAAAACGATTTAAAATTTTTTTTATCACACTTTACCCCCACCCCCAGAAAAGTACGTGTTCATTCTTAATTGGAGAATTAGTTCACCTAATTTGCATACATGTAACTGCGAATCTCTTTTCTGTGTGAACAACCATTTATCTCAATTTACGATATGATGACTCGAATGGAAACGAACAATGACACGTCATTCATTGTCGATGCAAGATCGGACGTGGACATCACGTGAAAAGAATTGATCGTATGGAAGTTAAACTAAAAGAGCAAACGAAAATTATGGAATTGTTCAATAGATAACCAACTCTATAAACGAATGATGACTTATTGTTATAAAATAACAATTTTGGCACAAGGCCGAAGGAGAAGTGGGCTAGCGTTGGTCAATACTTTCTATGCTGGGCCTAGCTAATCAGATTCTCCATCCATTATAATTTGCTCATTCACCACAAGAACTCATCCATCACTATTCAATCCTATATATACCACAACATGCCAAACCAACTCTAGTATAAACGAATGTAAGGTATTATTTTACTGTTAGACTCGTCTCATCTCCGCCTATTATTTTATGCGCTTTAATTAATCAACAACCCAATGACGGGGAAGTAAGGACGAAATTGATCAAGGTCAATAACGGAGATGGGTGTAATAGCAAAAAATGTACCGAATTTAAATATGATTCTCGAAATAAGGTTATCTATTAGACTTGGTTTTAAATGTTACGAAATGAATATAGAGACTGGAACGAAGCTAAGAAACTAGGGCTGCTACCAAGAAAATAAAACCTGGCAGAATATAAAACGTTTTGCAAATTTAGTAACCCAGTAAAAGCCGGGTGAATTTTTACTATTGCACCAGTCTCCCACGTTGGCCTAATGCGTATATTCAATTCCTCTCTTCACCGTCAATCGCTAGTTGACTACTTAAAGACTATAAAATAATAGTTGGGGCTGAGACGGGTGTCGGAGTAAAAATTAATACCAACAGCCATGATGTATCGTAGGTTTAAAAATGGATTTTACACAAGATATCAGTGTTTGTAAAAAGTATCAATGAAGACGTTGTCACTTAATTCTGTAGACAAAATGCAATGATTTCAGATTGAAGAAATCTAATAAGAAAAATCAGTTTCAGTAAATCTTTTTTCGCGATGCCAATATTTATACATAGTTATTGTTAAAAAACTGAGTACGTCGCTCAAAAATGAATTTGCAGTAAGTGAACGAGAAATTTCAGATACAAAAAAGAAACAACGCGAGGTGAAAAAGGATCGAAAAAATTACAAACTTTTTATCTACTACACGGTATTAAAACATTACCAGCATTCTGATCAATGAAGTGCATGTTTCCAACAATTCGCTGATAATGTGGTAAGTGGTATTTCATAACATTGTCATTTAAAACATTGTTTATGAATGTTATAGTAAAAGACAATGAATAATAAAAAAAAACTAAACTTGATCGCCAGATAAGGCGGGGCAAACTTTTACCGGCTCCGTTTGGGAAAAGTATTATCAATAGCCAAGATCTTTTTTTTTCCATTTCACCAAAATAATTGAATTATCGCCAGCTTATTAATATCATTCTATAATAATAATATAAAAACTTAAACCCTAACAATTGAAATAAATTTCTTAAACAACAATAACAGAAATAATATCACTACTTCTTTTCATAAGCGAGCCTGGTAAACAGTAATTGAACACCAGAATTTTTTTTAAAAAATCGTCACTGAAATTCTAATCTTAGGAATCAACTTCTTATTTCTTTACTTTGTAGAGGAAATTGTTTATTATACTCATGGACAATGTCATCAACCATTTATTAAAATCGGTTGGTTGATTAAAAGGGAGAGGGGGAGAGCGATTCCAAAGTCAAATTTCTTAATCTTTTTATGTAAAGTTATTTTAACTTAAAAGTGAAGGCAGATAAATTGTTTGCTTAATATTCCAAAGTGTTCACAATAAGCGGCTTCCTATGTATATAGTAGAACTTTCAATTGGACAACATATTTGATATAACTACTTAATTTTTTCGTTGTAAATATTCATTGGGAAACTTCTCACCACTCTAAATACAAAAAAAATTGTACATATGATACTATTTAGGACTTCATAGTGAAAGTGCAGTATGAATGAGAAGTGTCACTGGGGTTTTAGGGAAAGGGAAATATTCGTGCAATTGGATTGTGATTAGCTATTTTAAAAGATAGGACTGAGAATATCAGCCATCGCCATTTCCGGCCTTGTACCATATTTTTTATTCTGCAAATAAATATTGGGTTGGCAAAAATGTTCGTTCAGTTTAAGTACATTGTGTACTAGAATTAATTTTTGGCCAACCCAATATTTTGATAGAACTACTCTTGAAATATGGAAAACGACCAGTTTCTAACAATCTGTTTCTGTCATTAAGTGCTTCGGTAACTTTCTTTGGTCGTTCTCTTTTCATTTGACATAAATCTGAGATTTCAGGATTTGCAAGAATGTACAGCATCAGTTGGTTGATGTTTTAAACTGAAGTTACAATTCCGTGACGAGGACGTCAGTACACGCCCTCCCAATGTTTCGGGAAAGACAATTTGTATATTACCAAATTTTCATGTCATGGGTGTTTTAGTAGGATCCCTATGAATAAGTGGTATATGTTGGATCGAATTGTGATGGATGAGTTCTTGTGATTGAATCAATTGTAAGAATCAATGGGCTGTAAATCAGATTAACTAGGTGTAGGATTTTTACTGACGACCATTATTTATCCTACAGCCTTGTGTCACAATTGGATTTTAAAATACAATAAAGTTCCAATATGCTTTGGGAGTAAATCTTTAAAATCTTAGGTGAATTTAAAATTCACAACTTTTTGTGGGCGGACGATAATTGCTGCTATTCAGATAGAATAAGTCAGATAACGATCTGTAATATTCTAGGTACGAAAGTGTGTGCACATAGATGTATAAACTGACTTAAAATCCTTTAAAACATCATTCCTGGTAGTGAAGCGGTTATGCAACCATTTTGAAAGACATTCTCTCCAAGTTGACTATCGTCAAGTATCTCGTAGCTAATATAACCTTAAGGAGGACCTACATTTCAAATTGTTTCGAAGCGCTGAGGTCAATATTAATCAGTATTATTTTACTATTACGACCAACTCATCCCCGTCTATTATTTTGTGCTGTGCCTAAAAGAAAAGTCGCTACTGTAACGTGTGTAATGGTGCAAATAAAAACACGATTGTATGAATTTTTACAACTTTAGTCAACGAAAAAAAAAAAAAAAAAAGCCCTCTTTATAAACTCCGTTAAACTGAACCTCCATTTTATACTTTGTAAAATTGAATCAACTTGCATATTTCTAACTGTGTGGCGAACAAGAATTATCGGGTTTTTTTTTAGGGGGGGGTCATTTCGTCATTTCACCCAAAGCAAGGCTATAATATCACGAGAGCGCAGGAGTGTCACAGAGAGTGAATGAAAGAACTCTGGGGGAAAAGGACAATAATGGAACAGGGTTCAGGAAGACAATATGGCGATTTTTCGTTGCATTTAAATTTTGGGAGATTCAGTGGTAGGGAAGCAAGAAATCGTAAGGGACTTCCAAAAGTGAAATTATTAGAAGGGATGGTTGCATCTAACGAGTTCAACAGTAAAACTGAGACCCAGTCGTACGATTAAATTCATGTAGTCGAAACATAATCTGAATCGGATCTCTTTTTTTTTCTCTCTAAATTCAATAATTCTAAGTGTAGATACTCGTTCTAATAATCAGGTCTAAGGCGTTATTTTAGCATCACACGTGTCTCTTTCTTAACTATTTTATCAGCCATTTACTGGACCACCGAACTTTTCTGGTATACTGTAACCTGTCTTTAGCGGCGTTAGGCTAAATGAAGATGGTAAAAAGAAATATCAGATTTAATTTCATGCTTGCTTACAACTAGACAAAAACAAGAAACAAAAAAATAAAATAAAATAATTTCACTCAAGACGTGAAGCTGGAAATTAGGTTAAAACTTCTTTACGGTAGTGAATGCCGGAAGAAAAGGTAACTCTAGACAACAGATGTACTTTTTACAAACGGAAGAAGCTATTTTGCTGGTCCCGGTAAAATAAACATACTCTTATGCGTATTTTACTGGTCTGTCAGTGCGCATCCACCACCGAGAATTGAAACCCGGACCGTTACGATATGAGGCAAACGTTATACCAACTGGACCAACAGGCCTCGGTGACGAAGAGGTAACTAATTAGAATCGAATTGCCGACTTCCAATTCCAGTACCGTTTCCCGAGTGAGAGGTATTGCCCGAGGCATCCCATATCTGTTAGTTACAAAATACCAGATATCAAATCTAATAAAACTGGTTAAAAATATTTTTCTAAAATAAAATTAAGCACTAAATTAGATTTCTTATTGGTGCACTGATTTTTTTTCTTTTTTACCGTTTCATCGAGAGCATATTTTCGATGCAGGACAGCGTCCGTCTTTTTATTGCAAAAGCTACGAAATGATGATTCTGCAATTGACGATGCTGCAAATGGTTTGAAGTGACGATTTAAAGTGTTTTTCGACTGCTATTTTTTTTTCCAGACCGTCAATTATTTCGCTCCATACAACACTTGTTTTATTGGCAATTTCAACAGGTTAAAAAAAAACAAAGAATTCCGCAAATTGATTGCATCCAAACCGCTAGAAATAGTTGTTTTATGATGGAATACAAATCTTCACTTAAAGATGGCCTTAGGTCTAAAAGCCAGGGGCAAATACTTTGAGAACAAAATAAAGATGCTTTGAATTTAAGTCCATATCACGTTGAAACACCGGTTCTTGTACGTTCACCGAAGTTAAGCAACATTAAGTGTGGTCAGCACTTAGACGGGTGACTACTCGGGAATACCAGGTGCTATAAGCTTGAACGTGCAGGTAGTTCAATGGATAACTGCTTTGAATGAGAAATCGGAGAGGCGAGTTCGAATTCCAGTCGGTTTCGTTATATTTACTTACGTACAAATATCAGTGGGAAAAGGTATGAATCCACTTATTCTCCTCTCAGCTATGGATTAAATATTAGGAATTGTATCAGAAAATCTTTGTTTTCAAAATATTCTTGCATTTTAAAAATGTTTCGGCTTTAAAAATGTTAAGTCGCAAAAAAAAAAAAACAAATCAATCTTTGAATTTAGGAATGTTGATGTTTAAAAATGTTTGAAATTTTGCATATCACTCTTATTTGAATGTTGTCGGCAGGAAAAGTGAGTTTTGCAAGTTTATATTCATTGAAACTAAATTATCATCGGTTAATTTGCAGTGTAACACCCGCATTCAAAATTTCCAGAATATTTACATCTATGCGTAATTGTACATGCTTCATTCGAATCTGGCTTGATAAATTTGATAAAATCTACCGTTTTGGAGTTATCGACAGTAAAAGTTCGGATTCATTCGTGTCAATGGTAAAACTGAAAAACGAATGTCATTTTTTTCGGGAAATGATTTGCCGTTTGATTTAGAGATTATCTGGTTTCGCTCGTTGGAAATCGTTGCTTCCTTCCTTTCCCTTGAACTGCATCTCCGTTTCATTAATTTTACAGACGCTGTTTAGTTATTTATCACAATTCACCATTTCTACCATCACCAGTTATCTTTCCTTGATGCGTCACCACTGTTATGTTTGTATCCCTTTGTGATTTATGGTACGTTATTACAATGGCTTCCGTTCCACGATAGCCTATTATAAATTTTATTACATTCAATGTCGTTCGCATTTGTTCTTTAGTCTGCAGAATTTACGGAAAACGTGATAACACATAGTGAAATAATTTACCCATCTGTCAAAAAACAATAGTTGTATGTTTTAAGGTTCCACAAACACAGTTACTGATAATAGGTTATCATATATGATTTTCTAAATAGAAAATTATACATAGTACCTTAAAAAATCTGGTTTATTTACGTATTAAGCGGAATTTCAGTTAAGGTAGAGAGTATCTGCATTCTCTTCCTGTGATCATTTTGCGATCAAAGTAGAGTATCTGTTCTTTTTTTCCTCATAGATCTATCAGGGAAGCCTGAACCCGGGGTTTTCAGCCCTGTGGCAGCATCTTTCTCATTGTAATAAAGAGATGAAATTAGTGGATAACAACACCGCAGTGGTCGTGGGGCTTGAGCAGTTTTTGTTATGGCTCATACGTAGGCGTAATATTACCATTGCCCTTTATACTCAGGAGAGGCCTTCTTCCGAGGATTCCAATCCTGCGACAGCGCCTTCCTCATTCCACTAAAGAGGGAATGTTGGTAGATACCAAGGCCAGCGTGGAGTAGTCGTGCGGCCTGGGTAATTTTTGTCTTTGCTCCATGTAACGAAGGAGTTGCCGCGAAACGTATTCGCGTGGAAACATTCATTGTTTGTAGCTGGAAGCGGAAGCCGAATTGATTTCTGTGCGATTCGAACCCGAGCCTCGCATTAACCAGTTGATGTTGATTTATTCGAGTAGTGTGAACGCACAATAAATAAGCCAGGATCTTGGAAAAGTGACGAGATTTGCATATGCGAATTTAATTCAAACACCCAGATCGAGTACTTTGCGAGGGAATAAAACAACGTACGAGATTGACACCTGGACTTCGGTAGAAAGGCGTTCATGACGGTGTTTCTAAGGACAGCCACGGGCGAGCAAGAAATTGAGACGAGCGACCGTGTTTCTTTCTTTTCGTCTTGGACTTCACTTTCTTTTTAAATCAGTTTATATGTACGCGTAATGGTGCCCCTGCCACATTAAAACAACCTTATATCCTACCACAGTGGGTAAATAACGCCTGAGATTAAAGTGGGGTATCTGTTTCCGCATTCTCTTAAATCTATAAGGAAAGCCTTGTTCCGAGGATTCCAGTCCTGCGGTCGCACCTTCCTCGCGGCACAATAGTGGTTGGAGTTAATGTATACCCGTTACGTGTGTCAGTTTTTGTCCTTGGTCCATCGTACCTGTATAGGTCTCTTACATGACGTATCATATCGCCGTGTGGGAGTGGGTAATTAGCGAATCTGCCTTTTGATCAAAGTGTAGTATTTGTGTGCTTAAAATAACTGCTATTTATTCCTTGGGTTGTTTTCGATGCTATTACTTTGTCTTGTAATATGTTTCTCATTTCTTGTATTTTGGCTAACGTTTCATATTTGCGTATGTATTTTATAAATTTGAATTGCAAAAATAATTTCCATCTTTTCTATTGGAATGCTTCTTTTTTTTTTTTCATAGGTAATTTGATTAGTTCTTCAAATAAAGCCATTTTTTGCTCTGAAAGTAGTAAAGACTTATGGATCAAAGATTGCGGTTATATGGGGGGGGGGGGTAACCAATGTTGATTTTTTTTCTTTATTAGTATTTTTTGAAAAATTAAATTTATATCTAATATTGTTCATAAAAATAATTAACGCTTTAAAATATCAGAAATTGTAGAAAATAATCAGATATCCAGTTAGCAGATTTTTTTTTTTTTCATGAGTGAATTTAAAAATTTTAACGAAGACTTAATTTATTCTAATTCTTTCAGCTCTGTAATTTTTGTCAAATTGAGTAACGGAAACTCTAAAACGGTGATAGTCTGCAACGGGTGCACTTGTCTCAGAAAATTGCCTTTTAGGCCTTTGCATCAGATTCATGGAAATAAATGCCCCTTCGGCAAAGTAACAGTTTTAACACAAGTTTCGTCAGATAATTTTAGTGATTGTGAAGGAGACAAGAGCCAATTTAATAGGAAACTGAGATTAAAACAAACAAAAGTCGACTTTTTCAAGTTGTCTTTGCTAAAAGGTCGTCGGAAGTTGAAGGAATAATTGTAAGTGATGGTAACATGTCAGTGGGTGACATTAGTTCTCTGGTACCATCAGATGCTGACCTCGAAACTACGAAGGGTTGCTGGCATATATTCTATGCTCGACCAAGAAGGATTTCTCACAAAAAAAAAAGTCTGAATTTTTCAGTATCATCTCTTATTTTCCAAGATTCAACACCAGTAACAGAATCATTAATAGTCAAGAGAAAGAAATACCGACTCCAATTAATCAGGCTAATAATAGGATCATTGAATTGTAACACGACCGGACCTGTTAGTCATTAGAATACACATAAAGTCGAGTGGGTCCTAAATTATTTTATCTATCTGAAGGGTCTGGTGTTTTTTATGACCAGAAAAAAAAATCTACGAAGTGAGATCTTCTGGGCTGAATGATATATGGATCCAACAAGCTTTTTATTTACTTTCTTATAAATGTCTGCTCTTCTCTAGAGTATCATTGGGATTTCACAGATATAGGTCTACAGTCAGGCGATAGATTTTCAGGGGAGGTGGTGAAATCCTCATGCTATCTAGTCCACAGTTTTAGAGGGGATCTGTCGCCCTCATATAAAATTTTATATTTTTTGTTGCAGACCTTGGAAGTCTTGTCCGAGGATCACATCAGCACATAAATTATCCATTTAGTATTAATTAAAATTTTTGTAAGTTTCTGTACCCGCCGTGAGATTAGCTTTAGATTTTCCTACAGTTTTTAATAACAAGTCAGACGAATCCATACTAATGGTAGTTAGATTTTACGTGCAAACCAATTGACTGAACTATTTTGGTGTCGATAAAACTATGAATACTTTCCGAATCTACTAGCGCGGTAAGTTTTGTTTTATTTTTGCTCACGATGCATTTTACTGTGTCTTTTGAAACTCCCTGTAGCCCAGTAGTTACTGTGGTCATGTCTGGTAATATAGATGAAAAATTATTAGCATTCAAGCAACCGACTTTAGCGAAATGACCTTACAATTCTCGCAACTCGTTCTTAGAGCAGGAAACGTACTTGTAGGGTGTCTAATTCTTCCGAAGAAAAAAAACACCTTTCTTTTTCAAGGTATTTGCTAGCAGCGGATGTCCGAGAGTCTCTCTCCTTTTGGTTTTCCTCTTCTTTAGAGGTTAAGGCGTTAGCCCGGGGCTCCGATACCGACGCCGCTTTATAACTTGTTTGAGTATCAGCAGAATAGGTTTCAGAATAGTCCTTTCCATACTTCACGCTTGAATTCCAGTTTCAGAATTTAGGATAGAGCCTTTCCACACTTCGCGTCTGATTTTCCAGCTTCTGCGAGTGTGGGCGTTTTGTTTTCAAGAAGTCTCTGCCGAATAGGAGGTGCGGACAACTCAGAAATGAAGGCATCTCTAATAGCTTCTTCTTCGTAAGCTTGATGGGTAACATCTTTGAATTTACAGTCCTTTACCAGGACGGGCAATGCTTGAAGATATTGATCCAAGGTTTCTCCAGCCCGTTGATAGCTTCTTCAAAGTTTGTACATTCACTGAACAGTTTGTATACATCAGACGTCACGTAGTTTATAAGAATATCCAACTCCTCACCCTCAATAGGTTTGAGGAAGTTTAAAATGTTCGGTACCAGTGATTCCATATTTTCTCTACCCCGGAGTCTTAGTGTCTAGATCCAGAATTTTAAGTTTTAGTACCCTGTCCATGTTGGTACAAAAAAAAAAAAAAAAATCAGTAGTGAATAGAACGTGGTAAGATATAATTAGCTAGAAGTATTCACTGCTATTTCTTCAGTAGTTTAGTCTTCAATGTCAAGGGCGAGTTTAGTAACAGGCTGTATCGACTGCTATTTATATGGTGGAGATCTGCACATGACTACAACAGGTGGGTTTGTCTAATCGTTGCAAAAGTGAGAAAGGGGACCGTTGAATATTTGCAGAATAAGTTGCATGATTATGTAAAGTTTATAAGCATGTTACAGATGCAAAGGAAGTTTTCTTCCACACGAATGACATACAGGTGCCGCCAAATGTGCCATTTCATCGGCTGATACTGAAGAAAAGAGCACCGGTTATTCTTCTAGGACAAAAGACTGGTTGATTGAA